CATCATAACCTTGAACTTTTAGGCATGGTCTCAAGGCATCCTCCCACCTCAGCCTCCGAAAGCACTGGGATAACAGGTGTGAGCCTCAGTGCCCCACCTATAAAACAACTTTGTTTTATAAAGTCATCTAATGTAAATTTTGAATAGTGATTTAACCAAAAATTTTATTGGGAAGCTACGAGAAAAAGTTTGTATAAGTACCTCTCTCTGTGTGTGGAGAAGGTAATTCTTTCATTGTAGTTAGTAGAAAATTTTCTCATATGGTAAATTGCAACAGTAACAATTTAAGGATTCTTATTTTAGAAATAGCAAGGTAATTAACACAGGAAACAGCAGATTTGAAAGCAGTTGCCTCTTGGAAGTAGAATTCTGGAACAAGGAAGTGAAGTGACACACTTATTTAACATTTTACATGTATACTTTTAAATGTTTCAATTTAGTTATTTTAAAATAGGTACTATGTTCAGATGAGTCAGAATTCAAAAGGTATAGAAAGGGTTTATCATGGAATATCTGTTTCCCAGATAATTCATTCCTCTCCCAGGATAAACAAACGTTATTCCTTTCTTATGTAAACATCCTGACACATGTTATGCTTTTGCAACTTATGTGTGTTAATTTGTAGAAAGTCAATTTTGAAGAGAGTTTAGGACCAAAAGGCTTACAATAACTTAAGATGGACCACTCTATAGGGCTGCTCCTGGGTATCAGAGCAGGAGAGAGAACCCTCTGTTCTTTTTATGGGCCTTTAAACTTTACTTCCACCCTCCTCCCCCAAAAATATGTTATTGTTTTCATCATCACCATTAAAGATCTGGTGGAAACTGGAGGCAGGGTTGCCTCTGGAAATCCTGGGGAGGGCAGAGGAAACAAGGAATGTCACTTTCTTTTGTCTGACAGGCCCTTGCCCTCTGGCATGGGGCTATGTGTACCCAGGGATTTGGGCCTTTTCTGATCTTCACAAATAAAACTTGAAGCTGTGATGCCCTGATCTGTACCTTTAGAATTTTTTACAGCCCCTATGTGTTACTTTCTCCAGAAAGTGAACATGTAATAAATATGTGCTCCCAATGAAGGGTAGAATTTAGAGGGAAAAGGGATAGGCCTTCCAGGATGACAGACTTCACTGGCTTAGAAGTGGGACCCACCACAGAGCTTTGCACTGGTCTTGTCCTTAGATTTAAGCTCCTGCCCTGGCAGGGCGCAGTGGCTCATGCCTGTAATCACAGTACTTTGGGAGGCCAAGGTGAAAGGACTGCATGAGTCCAGGGATTCAAGACCAGCCTGGGCAATATGGCAGGACCTCATCTCTTCAATAATTCAAAAAATTAACTGGGCATCGTAGCACGCACCTGTAGTCCCAGCTACTTGGAAGGCAGAGGTGAAAGAATCCCCTGAGCCCAGCAGGTCAAGGCTACGGTGGCCATGATCGTGTCACTGCACTCCAACCTGGGTGACAGAGTGAGACTCGAACTCAAAGAAAAAGAAATAAAACCTGCCCTCCTCCTCACTAAGTATTCATGTCTCTGATATCCATTGCCTCAGTTAAAATAAAAAGGGATAATAATTTTTACCTCTTAGGAACTTGGGAGGATAACATTCAATTGTGAAAATTAAAGTACATATCACAGTTCCTGCCTGATATGTTCTTCCCGACTTTGGACCTTCAGGCAATTGTCCAATGTGCTGAACATAAGGCTCCTTGTCAGAAAACTACCATCTGGGGCCAGGCTTGGTGACTCAGCCTATAATCCCAGCACTTTGGGAGGACAAGGCGGGTGGATTGCCTGAGCCCGCAGGTTTGAAACCAGCCCAGGCAACTTGGCGAGATCTCATCTCTACAACAAATAAATAAAAAATAGTCGGGTATGGTAGCACGCCTGTAGTTCCAGCTACTTGGAAGGCTGAGGCCGAAGATCGCCAGAGTCCAGCAGGTTGACGCTGGGATGGCTGTGAGTGTGCCACTGCACTCCAGCCTGGGAGACAGAGTGAGACTCCCACTCAAAAAAAAAAAAGACAACTACCAGATAGGGGCTCATCTTCTGGATATCCTGAGTGGTGTAGGATGTTTTCATCTCTTTTTTAGTTCTTGAGTTCCAGTAAAAAGATCGGGTAGCAGTTCCTGTAGTTTGTGAGTCACTTAAGAAGGCCTCTGCTTTCCTGGAACACAGGTTACAAACGTCTTGACCCTAGAGCCTGTGTTTGGGTTAAAGCAGCGGGATCCTGTACCCCTGATGGCAGTCTGTTATTTGAAGTGCTTGGAGCTTAGAAACAGGAGTCCATGGAAAGGATCTCGCGTTCCCCAAAGTCTCCAAGCCTTGAGTCCTTCACTGCAACATTGAGATCAAGATGGCCACCCCAGGGGCCCTTGAGTTAAGCCATCCAGTGGAATAGAAACATCTAGCACTTTAGTAATTTGAGTCAGCCATCATGAGTTCCCTCCCTCTCCAGTGCCCTTTTGGCAGGGGAGCCCACCATCCCTCAACCAGCTCTGAAAGAGTGTTGATCACACGTGCAGAGCAGATTGGTGGCTGCGCTCCGTCTTGCAATTTTCCAGGAATGTGTGGGACCCAGGCGGCAGCTCTGGAATCAGCAGGTGCCAGAGCTGTTGGGCATACTCCACCCTTTCCTGTGGCCTCTTGGAGAGGGGAGGAGAGCAGAGGAGGGATCTGCTCACCACCTAGACTCGGCTTCTCTCATTGGAGACATAGGCAGGAGAGAGGGCAGGGTGGGAGACATGTTGAAGGAGCAAGGAGGGAATTTCCAGGCTCCTCCCTTCTGAAGTCACCCAGCCTTGAGATCACTGTAGAAACAATAGGTGTTTAGGGACTTCAATGTGGGCTGAGCATTCCTTCCACCCTGCGAGACATGCATGGCATTCTTAGGGTCCACTAAAGAGTGCAGGGGTGGCTGGAGGCTAGAGGATAGCCTGGGAGATGCTGGGATTAGAAGGGTTGGTGAACTCAGGGTGTCTTTCCTGGGCAGAGACCTTCTGCTGGAGAGAAGCTTTCTCCCTCCATTGGTAGTGCAACACTGTAACAGTAAGGCTACCATGGGCATGTGTGTAAATTGTACTTTCCAGCCCTCTCCTCACAGGGCTTTGCAGCAGCATTCCTCACAACAACCTTAAGTGGTTGAATACTGCAACCCCATTTTACAGAGGAAGAAATTAGGCCTTGGAGAAGTTAAGTCATTAGCAGGGATATTTCCCACTGTGGGATCTCACAACGTCTCCCTCCTGCTTTCTCGGATGCTGAGAAACCTCCAGCATCCTCCACGCTTTTTTGATTAGCGTGGGCAGCTCTCCCAGCAGCCTTGGACAGTGGTGAGCCCCTTTAGCCAGCCACGGACAGGACCCTGCTCTCACATGTCACTTCTCTGTCTCCATCCTACTGGTTTCAACTGGTCTCTTTGCAAACCCACAGGGCTCTTGGAGGACACCCTCAGTCTGGACTCTGTGCTACCTACTGCACTTCACATCCTATGGGGTAAGGCAAAATTGTTTTATTTTTACTTTTAGTCAGTATCACTATGTCACCCAGGCTAGAGTGCGGTGGCATGGTCATGGCTCACCACAACCTTAAAACTTCTGAACTCAAGCGATCCTTGGCTCAGTCTACAGAGTAACTGGGAAAACAGGCTCACACCACCATGCTGACTAATTTTTCTATTTCTTGTCGAGATGAAGTCTACGTCGCCCAGGCTGGTCTAGAACCCCTAGGCTCAAGCAATCCTCCCACCTCGGGCCCCCAAAGTGCTGGGATTACAGGCATGGGCCACTGTGCCTGACCTATTTGGTTTTGTTTTTTTTTTTTTTTTGAGTTGG